TTTACTTTCCGTCAATAACTTAACAACCAAGAAAAAGAACCAAGGAATCTTAACAAGATTGCTAATAATTTTTGAAGATCCTAATTCACCCCCCCCCCCCCCTCTTAGGCGCCGATACTACTTACAGTCTGCCAATTGATCATTAAAGTTGACAAAGCTTGTGGCGATGTTGCCTGACTCGATCTTCTCTCTGGCAAAGTGACATTTTATCTCAATATGTTTGGTCCTCTCATGGAAGACTAGATTTGAAGCAATGTATAATGCAGCTTGATTATCACAAATAAGTGACATTGGTCTTGCTTTTTCAATTTGAAGTTCCTTGAGTAACGGTTTTAACCAAATAAGTTCACATGTTTCTATTGGCATGGCCCTATACTCTGCTTCAGCGCCTGATCTTGCAACTACATTTTGTTTCTTACTTTTCCAGGATATAAGGTTTCCTCCAACAAGTACACAATTACGTGGAGGTGGATCATCTGTCAATGAGTGACCCTACCCAATCAGCATCGGAGTATCCAACTATCTGGATATGTCCTTTATCCTCATACACAATACCTTTTTCCTGGATCACGTTTGATGTATCTCAGAATCTAGATAATAGCATCCATGTGTTCCTGACAAGGGGAATTTAAGAACTGGCTTACCACACTGATTGCAACAGAAAATGTCTGGATGAGTGACTATGAGATAATTCAACTTTTCAACCAATCTCTTGTACCTTTATGAGTCAAATAGAAGCTCTCCCTAATTGGGTAGTAGTTTGATATTTAACAAGCATGTTTCTTCCAAAATATCCATAGCATATTCCCCTTTAGAAATCACAAAACCATCTTTAGATCGAGTTACTTCAATACCCAAGAAATAGCAGAGTTTACCAAGATCTTTTGTCTGAAATTGTTTTGAGAGATGTTGTTTCAACTGAAGTATTCCCTACTGGTCACTACTAGTTATTACAATGTCATCTACATACACAATAAGATAAATACACTCTTAGGTTGAGTGACGATAAAAAAACAGAATGGTCAGATTCATTATGGATCATACCAAACTGTTGTACTACAGTGCTGAATCTGCCAAACCAAACTCTCGGAGATTGCTTAAGACCATAAAGATACCTGTGTAGCCTACAAACCATATTTGATGACTCCCTCAACAAACCCAAGTGGTTGCTTCATATATACTTCTTCTTCAAGATTACCATATAAGAATGCATTTTTGATGTTAAGTTGATGAAGAAGCCAATGTCGAATTGCTGCAGTGACTAGAAGAAGTCTAACGGATGCCATCTTGGCTACAGGCAAAAAGGTATCACTATAATCCAACCCAAAAACCTGAGTGTATCCTTTGGCTATCAAGCGAGTTTTAAATCGATCAATTTCACCATTTGGACCAACCTTCACTGCATAAAGGCAAAGACAACCAACTAAATATTTCCCTGGGGTAGAGGAACCAGTTCCCAGGTACCACTGCTTTGAAGAGCACACATTTCATCAATCATTGCTTGCCTCCACTCAGGGTGAGATAATGCTTCATCTGGAGTTTAAGGAATGGAAACAGAAGACAAACAAGTATACTTCAAAGGGGAAAGATGATGATAACATAAATTAATATAATGTGGAGAAGGATTTTGTGTTTGACGTATACCTTTTCGAAAGGCAATCGAAAGATTAGACTCGAATTTCATAATCAAATTCGGTGATGGAGAGAGCGTCGAAGGAAAGTCTGTATTAACCTCAGAGACAGGTACGACCTCAGGGACAGGTACGACAAGCGTTAGGTGACGACGCTGATATGTTTGAAGTGGTGAGAAGTAAGGGGTCAACCGTAGGGGTATCTAGTAGGTCAGGCTCCCTAGAATGATGGGGGATAATGACAATTGGGACTTCCGAAAGAGTTTTAGGAATATTTTCCTATAGAGGTTATGGAGTTACTTGATTGGACTCAAAATATGGAACAAACTCGAAGAAGGTAACATCGGCCGATACGAGGTATTATTGTAGAGTATGTGAGTAGCAACGATGACCCTTTTGGGATCGATGATAGCCAAGAAAGACATACTTTAGTGATTGAGCTGATAGTTTATCAAGACCAGGGGAGAGATCATGTCAAAGCACGTAGACCCGGAGACTCGAGGAGGAATTGGGTGGAGATGAGAGTTTGAAAACAGGATTGAATGAGGGATTTTATTATTAAGGACAAATGAGGGCGTGCGATTTATTAGGTAACATGTTGTGGGCACCGCATCCCCCCAAAATCGGATAGGAACATTATCATGGAGAAGTAGAGTCCGAGTGGTTTCTACGAGATGTCGGTTTTTGCATTCGACTATCCCGTTTTGTTTGGGTGTATGAGGGCAAGATGTTTGGTGCAACATACCGATGATGACATAAAAGTTTGAAAGTTTTGGGATAAATATTCACATGCATTGTCAGTTTTTAAGGTACGAATAGAAAAACTAAATTGGGTTCTTATTTCTCGATAAAATTGTTCAAAAATGGAAAACAATCCAGACATGTTCTTTATTAAAAATAGCCACGTGCAACGTGAAACATCATCAATAAAAGTTACAAAATACCTAGACTTAAAAGTAGACACGGTACGCGAGGGACCCAAACATCTGAGTGAACTAAAGAAAAAGAGGACACAGCCCGTTTATTGACTCGATCAGGAAAGTGACTACGAGTATGTCTCCCTAACTGACAAAACTCACAATGTAAAGTGGATAACTTAGATAAATTACGCACCAACTTTTGTAGCTTGGGAAGACCGGGATGACCTAACTGCGCATGTATAATGAGTGGAAAATTCGTGGTGGAGCATATGGTAGATGACGTAGAGAAGTAGTAGAGGCCTTAAGACTCGCATCCGAGGCCAATCGTCTGTCCCGAACTTCAATCTTGTATAATAACATTACTATTAGTAAAGGTGATAGAACAATTAAGGAAACGAGTTAAACGACTGACTGGCAGTAAATTAAAAGGGAAATTAGGTACATATAGGATAAAAGTAACAAAGAGATGGTAGAATTTGAACAGTACCAATCTCTTGGGATTAGATCTGAGAACCATTTGTGGCAGTTATATTTGGTAAGAAACCAGAGGTAAAGAGGGAAGAAAAAAGATCTTTATTACCAGTAACATGATCAGACGCACCAGGATCGAAGACTCAAGGACCAAGAGGAGATGATTGAGATTAGCAGACATATGAATTACTAGTGTGTACAACTGAAGGCGTGGAATTAAATGTCTGATTAGTCTAATACCGCTTGAAAAAATCCCCATAGCTTGGCGTAAGGTTCTGAATAGAAGGTGAAGTCTGCATTGTGTCTGAGTTACCAATTTGAGATGCATTTACCTGGCGTAGAGGTCTGCCATGTAACTTCCAGCAACAGTCAATAGTATGCCCAAGCCGGTTACAATGGTCACACTTGGGACGTGGTTTGGAGTTGAATGACCTTCCTCGAAGGAGATTCTGATTGTTTCCATGAGATGCAAGGGCGTCAGTGTTGCTTAGTGTCAGAGCAATAATAGATAGAGGGAAAACCATACCAAACACATGAGGTGTAGCCAAGCACAACAGTTCTTCACTAACTGCATCATAGTTAAGAATAGTAGTACCTGATAAAGTCTGGTTACGAACAGACTCGAGTTATGATGGTAGATCTTTAAGTGACGTGACCATGAAAAATTTACTCTGTTGTTCGGCATGAAGTGTTGCGTCTTTTGTGTAAGGTATGAAGGTTGAGTAACTTGCTTTTAAGGCATCAAGCTTACTCAGATAGGTTTACATATTCATATTCTCCAAATTTAGTGTGTCGAGTTTGAGGATGACATTGTATCGACAATGAACGTCATTGGAGAAAACTTTCTTAGCCTTTTCTCAAATCTCATAGCAAGTGGAGAAGGCTTGATACTGCGCTTGGAGGTTAGGTGCTATGGAGAACCATAACACAGTAAGCAATATGCATCGACTTTCTTCCATTTGGCGAGTTGGCGATGGCAACATCAGTCAATTGTGTGGTTAGGTGGTCTTCATATCCCAGACCATGAAACCACATATTGACAGCACGAGCCCATATGTTATAGTTTGTTGATCTGGTTAGTTTTTCACATGGTCTCCCGTGGTTTGAAGACACAAAATCGGGGTTATTAGAACTGGACTACAAATTTTTAAGAAGCGTGTGAAGTGTGTTGGACTTCTGCTGGCAGCGGGTGAAAGTACGGTGGCTTGATCGGAGGGCGATAAGTCAAATGGTGGGGTCAATTTTCTGAAACGTCGCTGTAAGTTATCAGAACAGTGACGACAACAATGTCGATGAGATGGTTATTGGAGAATTTTGAAAAGTGAAAGACAAACTAAAGTGATGACACGATTTTAAAAAAATTTCACCGATGACAACAAATTAATCGAATAAAATACAAAGAAAAAAATTGCCTCTTAATATGTATTTGAATGGAACAACGGAAGATGTATTATATAAAAAAAAAGTACATAAATATTCTTAAAAAATATTCTCTGATAAATATCAACACAATCCAAAAACATTAAGCAATTGCAAGAATATATATTTCAAGATATTATAATTAAAAAAAAACACCATTTATCATTTTAAATAATATAAAATTGATCCTTTTACCAAAAATAAGCATTGACATCTGAGTCAGTAAACAAAAGTGGCTAGTCCCAACAATAATTTTAGGTAAGATTGAAAAGATAATTTAAAAGACTAGAAAAATGCACAACTTATCTTTATTATGAAAATATAATGGTGGATGTACATAGACTTTTCAAATTTAAACCAAGATGCGCATCTTCCATTTTCAGCCTCTACAAAATATTCATATATTATCAGTTTCTCACAACATTAACTGCGGACATACAACACAGGACATGACTGCATGACAGACATTTACTTGAGATGAGAGACTAATGCCTCAATAATTGCTATTGGAATACTATGACTAATGCCATTAGGAGTGGTGACCAAGATGATATAGTGGTTACATACGAGATATCTGAAGTGGGATAGTCAAGGAAGCCATTTCTCCCATTACTGGCTGAAACAAATCCAGTTCTCCATATCGCTCCAGTACACGCATTCTGCAATCTTCAGCTGCCATCATTCCAGTAGAATATGCACCATGGACAGACCCTGGGTAGCTCATACTTGTTGCTTCCCCTGCAAAGAAAAGGTTATCTACTGGAACTCGTAGCCTCTCGTACAGCTCATGCGGTTTTCCTACTTGATCATAGCTATATGAACCCAGTGAGTTTATATCCGAGCCCCACTGAGACACAAGATACTGAATCTGCACGGTAGAAACAAGTTACCATTTAAAATACATAAGCCCAAGGGACTTATCAAATCTTACATATGACAGGTGAATGAAAAAAGTATTGAAGCGTTCATTTTTCTAGCGTTTCAAAAGTGAAATAGTGTGATTACCGGTGAAGAAGCCTCGGGAAGGATCTTCTTGAGTTGCATGAAAGCAAAGTTAGCAGCTGCTTCATCAGACATTTTTTCGATGTCTTTGGCGAGCCGGCCAGAAGGCATGTAAACAAGGACAGGATGACTTGCAGCCTTGTGGAGATTGAGAAAATAGCTACATCCATAAGATGTATCTGCAACTACTCCCAAGAACTCTACATTAGGCCAAAATACATTCTCAAAATGTAGAATAATTTTGTTCTCAAGTCCAACTCCCAGTTCAGCAATGGCAGCTTCTTTCCAGTCTGGGAGCTTTGGCTCAAATGATATCCTCTTCGATTTAAGGACACCAAGAGGGACAGCGATAATAGCAGCATCAGCAATAAATGTTTTCCCATTTTCCACCGTCACTTTTACTCCGTTATATCTCCGAACAACTTTTGTGACCCTGAAAAGGGGGCATTTTTATTGCCAGCAAAATTTAATTAAGCAACATAACAGGAAATACAATTTCAAATCAAATATTCAAACTGATATCTACCTGTGCCCTAGGCGAATATCAAGACCCTTGGCTAGGGTATTTATAACAGGCAAGTAGCCCCTGACCATAAGACCATGACCACCGGGGAGAAGTACTTCCTGTCAGAACATATTAAAAGGTATAAGATATGAAAGCAAGATACATTCAAAATAAAAATGCTTGTGTTAGTTAAGAAATTTCTTGCAATGTGGTGTACTAAGGTCAATCTAGGTCAATTTAGTTTAATAAGCAGTCTTTTCTAATATTCTTTAAAATATGAGACCTATGCAGAAGGGAAGAACCTTTTTCACCTACAACCATAATACCAAGTTCAGCATTTCCCTGTCATGCAACCAGATGCATGTCATGACTAGATTCCTATACATGCGCCTCTGTGTCTCACTTTTTTATTATTTTGAAACAGTAAATGTTAGTATCATTAATATTATGCTTTGGGTGGAGATCGAACCCTCAACATTCTTATAGCTCCACTCCTTGAGTCCCTCGCCCCAACCCCCATCCTTATATCCCCTCTCTGCTAGTGTTATTTTGTTTGTCTAAACATAAATGAAATTTACCCATGTTTGACTTATTCATTTCTTGCATAACAAAATGGTCATTTTTATCTCCAGAAGTGGTCTATATTTTCAATAAGATGCATACTCCTACATGAGTAGATCAAGCAACACATTTACATGATTATCGGTCATAGAAAGGCTGCATGTTGAAGACTCATGCACCTGGCTATGAGACGACTTTACAAATTATTTCTTTCACTACAGGAGCTACCTGTATGTAACACCAAAGAGAGTAGATCATTTAGTGCATAAGTCAAGGTGGGGCAGGGGGAACTTAATAGGTAACACAAGATTAATATCTTCTAGTTGATTTCTTCAAATTACCTGGTCCCAGCCATTCAGTGAAATTGTATCAGAATCAGCAGCAAACCAGCCCTCCATTCTGCATAAATACCACTGAAGTACCTTATGGGCAAGCCCATCCAACCTGTACTCGAGAGTGGAAATCATATTATTTTTCTACAGCTTAAAACCAAAGCAGTCACGGTGTCGAGGAAATTTAAGTTTACGCATTGATAACCTTAATTCTGGCTTCCTTTCAAAAACAATAGAAAGACCGCGCTGGATGGACATGTCTGTATTGAATTCACTTCTTACTTTATTTGTCTGCATTTAACCAAGGACAATATTTCAGAGGTTTCTCAATATGACAACAAGTAGAAACAAACATTAGAAGTGATCGTTTGGAAAAATTGCTTTCTATTGTGGTAATGCATTTCAGTAGGTAAACCAAATAATTTTTTTTCTTCTATCAAAGCAGAAATGGAGTGCAAAGGCATCACTATATGGTAGAGGAATCCCAACTATGTGAACACACCCTAAAACCTAATATCATTTGTAATAAACCAAATAACCAAATCATTTCTGGTAAACCGAATAATAAATCATTTGTAGTAAACCAAATAACTAGAAGAACATTTGAGATATGATTATAATTTACCTCAAGTAAAATTGTCTCAAACACTTCACCAACTTTTGTTACCAATTCCTGGGGAACTTGATTTCCGTCCTTATCAAAAAGTGCATAGCTGGAAGAAGGTAAGGATTTTAAATAAATAAATAAAAGAACTAGCTTATAATAACTTCTCCCGTGCATATCAACTAGAAAAGCGGTTATCTTTATGCAAGTGTAGCAGAACTTGCAAGCCAATATAACACCAAAATCTATGTATCTACCTTTCCAAATCATGATCATATAGCACAGAGTTATCCCCACTAGTACGGTAAAGGGGTAGCCCCAGCCTCCCAATCACTGAAGCAAGTGGATTCTCTTTGGAAACTCCATGCAACCTGAAACAGAAAAAGTGTGCCTTTTTTTAATAACAAAATAAATGGAAAAAAAATTGCATATTCTCATCAAGATTCAAATACATTAGAATATAAAGAGAAAAAAAAAATCTTTACCATGATGCTCCCAGGTCAACAGGAAAGCCAAATGAGTAATCCGTGTGAATTCTGCCACCAAGTCTTTCCCTAGACTCTAAGAGAACAACCTAACCAAAGTTTCAAAAAACAAAGCACCATTTAGTACCCTGACTCTGAAAATGCATATTAACTGACTACAGGTTACAAGAATGCAAGTCCAAAATCAAATAAGAGGCAACACAATGCTATGCATAAATGGTTTTTCTTAATAAATAAATGTCGGTAACATAATAATGCACTAAATGTTTCTGTTTAATTTGCATTGCCACTTCATGACTTGCATTTTGGGGCAAACACAAAACAAACTAGAAAATGGCAAAATGTTGGCTAAATTCAATTATTACATGTATTCTTGATTTCCTCTCATGGAATTCTAGCTTCCCAAATGTATAGTTTTACTTGACTAAAGTGAAGAGCAACCCCGAGTCTAAACTAGGAAGTATAACCCAGGGTCATTTCCCCAGAACCCTTATGAGCTTCGTTGCAGACAACCATTTAACAAGTCTAATCTCACTATGTGAGACACGCTACATAGATCAAACGATGCCATAATGTTATATAATATATTATCTTTCTACCCAACTCATTAATCTCTAAATCTTTCTTAACCAATACATGCAATATAAATCATTATCATTATTCTACAACAGAGTAACACAACAGAGTAACGTTCTACATCAACAAGAATTGTTTGAATTTTCAAGTCATAAATCAAATTATTTAGCTCAAATACCTGAATGGAAGCATCTTGAAGTGCCCGTGCAGCAGCAATCCCAGCCATGCCACCACCAATGACAATAACAGATGGTGACCTCTCCTGCTCACTGCTAACATTGCCATAGCAAAGAGCTATAGGAAAAAGGAAAACAAAACAAAACCAAAAAAATCATATTAGTAAATAACAAATACCCAATTGAAAATAAATAAAATTTGCACACACTTTTTGACTAAGAGCAAGCTTTTCATCATCATTTCTAACTTAGAAAGAGAAAGAGAAGTCAATCCGTTAAATTAACTTAAATTAAAAAAAGATTAGAACTTACTAATACAACATATATTAATCTAAACGTGTACGTTTTCACAAAAGAAAATTGTTTCCCACAACAACTCTCTTTGTGACACACCATATTTCCGATATATCAATTTTATTATAATTATTATAACAATAAAAAAGTTCATATTACAATTTAAAAAATCCATTCAAAGACCTTAAGTTCTTATTTACAGTAAAATATAATAAAATATAGAGATGCACAATTCTTGCCAAAGCATTAGATTAAATATCAAATCTCTAAGAATAAACAAATAAAATAAGCATGCACGTGTCACGTGTTATGACTTAGACTAGACATATTTTTTCAAACAATAACTATCAAACAAAATAAATAAAAAGCATATAATAATATAGTAATAAAAACCCACACAAACTAACAAAATAATTCAATTTTATCCTAAAATCCAGTAAATAAACTATTTACAAAGTTTGGTTTACCTGCTATAAGAAGTACATTTTTCATTCAATAATAGTCTATAGTTAATCTAAACCACAAGTATCACTATCACTGTTAACAGTATTTTATTTTGTCATGTATATAAACGTTAGGCACCGACAATTAAACGAAATAAAAATAAATAATGTATATATAATATAATAATAGAAATATATATTTATATATGTTATTAATTAATTAAATAATTAATTAGTAGTATGAAAAGCAAACCTCTGGTTAATTTGGGGTTACTCTTATTTCCTGACTCCATATTTAGAATAAGATTCTGGATTACGATGGAGATTACTGTTACAATCTGTTAATAACTGTTTCGGGAAATTGCTGAACAAACGAAGCGATTGAGGAGAAAAATGGAGGGAAAAAACCAACAAACAAGTAACAAAGTGATTGAAATTCAAGTTCGACGATAAATCCAGATTTCCGAACCAGTTCATACAGCTGGATTTTTCTTCCGAAAAGTTCAACCACTATTTCACGCAGTGGTTTTTAGGTTTCTGAATCAAGCTGAAGAAACAAAGCACCGAAACAAAGCACCGAATCGCGATTTAGCGAGATCGGGAAAGTTTTTGTGAAGGTGTTTGGTGAAAAGGTTCCAAGAAAAATCGGGGAAAAAGAAAGAAAAATCGGGGGAAAAGAAAGAGATTGCAGAGAGAGAAAGATGAATTGTGATGTATCGATGAATTTTGGCGTCACATTTATAGAGTTGGTTTGTAACGTACCTAAATTGAACTGGCAATTATCGTGACGCTCTCTGAAGCGCGTGATGTCACGTTACTTACTTTTTCAATATTTTAAAAAGTAATTTATATTTGAGTTAAATATATTTTTAGTCTCAATAAATATTTTCACATTTTATTTTAGTCTTAATAAATAAATAAATAAATATATATATATATATATATATATATATATATATATATATATATATATATATATATATATATATATATATATATATATATTTTAATTCCTAAAAAAATTGTATATATGCAGTTTTAATTTTTTTTATTTTTTAAAATTTTAAAAATTATTTAATTATTTTTAAATTTTTAAATTTTTGAATAATTTTTTTATACATTGATAATTACTATAAAACGTTTTTTTACCAAATTATATAATTTTTTAAAATAAAAAATATTAAATATGAATTTTTTAATTTTAAAAGATAATAATAAAAATAATGAAATCTCGACTGATAAATAAAATTTTGAGTTTTTTTCCTTTCGACGAACTTTTTATAACATTCTAAACATATCAGTAAAATAACCATTCAAAAATACACATTGATTTAACAGTAGGGATTAAAACTACATGCATAATTATTTTGTAGAGACCAAAACACACTATTTTTTTTATAGGGACCAAAAACAAAATTTTGTAATTTTATAGAGACCAAAAACATATTTAACCATTTATATTTTTATGTTTTTTTTAAGATGGGTGTTTTTTTAATACATATTCTCTCCAATGCCGTATAGGTATCTTTTGAAAAATCCCAATAAATAAAAAAAAACTTGCATGAATTTTTCTATTATTTAAAAAATATTTTTCTTAAACATTTGTCAGGCCAACTCATCAAAAATGATGATGTGGCATCATTTTTTAATTATTTTTCAAATTAAATTTCACATGTGTTTAATGAGTTGTGGGAGGACGAAAATACCCTTGAATTAATAACAAAAACTTCAACCCTCGAGACCAAATTTGTTTGTGTTCACTTCAAACCTTGAAAAAAAACCCAAACCCTAGTTCCTAAGTGTTCTTCGTTGAGTTTGAGTAACCTAAACCCTAATTCCTTCAAGGGTCACGTTTTTGCTTTGGTTCTGTATTGCAGTGCTACCAGGAAAAGATTTTGTGGTCTCAAAAAGGTATGGTTTTTATGCTCAATTACGACTTTTATGTGGTCTCGATGCATTATTTTTGCAAGTCTGATCAGGTCACACATGAACGTTTTTTCTGCAAATTTTAATATCTGGTTATCTGTGTATTTACAAAAATGGGGGTATTTTGGTGTCATTTTTTACCATGGGGGAAACTTTGTGCAAGATAAACACATGTTTTACAGTGGAGGTAGCAAAACCATTATACAAGGTCAAGACTCTGATAAGTGGAGTTTTCTTGAAGCTGTTAGCTTGGTTAAAGACCGGGGTTATGAAGAATTTAGGCTTTGGAGAAAGATTCCAAGACTGGATGAAAGGTTTACCTATTTCATTGATGACATATAAGCTGGAGAAATTGCTAATCACAATATGTCTTATAATGTTGATGGGCATATTTGGGTAGAACATGGTGTTTGAGACATGATGAGCAAGGTGTTGAACAATGATATTGATTTGTTTAGTGATTGCAGTGAAGATGATAGCACTGATGATGATAGAGGCATAAAGTTCAATGACAGTGAAGAAGAAAGGGCATGTGAGGTAGAAGAGGAACAATTTGAGGAAGTTCAAGTAGAAATACCAGTCAATGGGAATACGATTGAGGTAAATGAAAAGTCTATGAAATTCAAGGTTATGGCATTCAAAGTTTCCAAAAAGATGAAATCCTTAAACAAGGGGTCTAAAGTGAATGTTTTGGTTCCTAAAAGTGTGTTGGGATCTAGTTAACAGAGGAATACAAATAGCTTTAGAAGTAGAGATGTGGACTATGATAGTGAGGAACTGGATAGCTTAGACTCTGATGAAAGTAACAAGGATGACAAACAATCCAAGCCTAAGTATGAGAAGTTCAGAGGTGAACTGCTAAACAAGGACTTTCAATTTAAACTAGGTGTGGAATTTAACTCTCTATCAGAATTTAAAGGTGCAATTAGGGAGTGGTCAGTTTTAAATGGAAGAGATATAACATTTGTTAAGAATGAAAGCCATAGGATTAGGGTAGAGTGCAAGGGTAAATGTGGTTTTTTAGCTTTGTATAACAAAGTGGGTGACAGACACACCTATCAATTAAAGACATGGGTGGGGACACACACATGCGCAAGGGTATTAAATAAAAAATTTGCCAATGTCAAGTGGGTATCTAAGTTAGTTGTTGAAAAAAGGAAGTCACATGGAAAAGTTAAAGTTTCTAAAATGATGAATGAACTAAGGCAGAAATACTCAGTTGGCATAACTAAAGGGAAGGCTTGGAGAGCTAGAGCCATGGAAGATGAAATTATTGAAGGAAATGCAAAGGAACAATATAACATGCATTGGAGTTATGCAACTGAGTTGAAGAAGCATTATGCTGGGAATACAGTGAAGATTAACACTGAGAGGCCATTACCAACAATCCCACCAATATTTGGGAGATTCTATTTTTGCTTTGATGGTTGTAAGAAAGGGTTTACTAAGGCATGTAGACCCTTTATTAGAATAGATGGGCGTCACCTTAAGACACAATATGAGGGGCAGTTATTGGTGGTTGTGGCAAGGGATCCAAATGACTATTACTATCCTTTGGCTTTTAGTGTAGTGGAGACTGAAATAAAGGATAGTTGGAAATGGTTTATGCAGTTACTTATGGAAGACATTGGGGTTGAAATAAAGTATTTTTTTATCTCAGATCAACAAAAGGTACATATTGTTTATGGTTTTAAAAGTTTGTTTGTTTAATGTTTTTTTTAGAAGATCTCATTGTTATATTGTTTTGTGTTTATATTTTGCAGGGTCTAGTGAGTGTTTTTTAGGAGATGTTTGAACAAATTAAGCATAGAATATGTCTCAGAAATTTATATGTCAGTTTCAAGAAGAAATTTGATGGTGAAGTTGCAATAAGGGACCAATTGATGGGGACTGCCAAAGCTACATACTTTCAGGTTTGGGAGAAAAAGATGAATGCGCTTAAGCAACTTGACATGAAGGCATGGGAGTGGTTGATGGGAGTTCCTAACAAGTTATGGTGTAAGCATTCCTTTAGCTTTTACCCTAAGTGTGATGTGTTGATGAATAACCTCGGAGAGTCTTTTAATAGTACAGTTTTACAAGTTAGGGATAAACCAATCCTCACAATGGTAAAATGGATTATAAACTATTTAATGAATAAGGTTTCCAATAGTTTAGTTAAGTTAGACAAATGGAAACAAAATGTTATGCCTAATCCTAGGAAAAGATTAGATAAGGAAACTCTAATGAGTGGTGAATGAATGTCAATATGGAGTATGGGTGAGTTGTGGCAAGTTCATCATCCGTATAATAGGCTTCAACTTGTTGTTGATCTTAGGAAAAACAGATGTACATGTTGCTTTTGGGACCTTGTGGGGATATGTTGTAGACATGACGTGTCTGCAATGCAATATCAAAATGTGAACCCTGAGACATCTGTTGACCCTTGTTACATGAGAGAGGCTTACAAAACATGTTATGAAAACAATGTCAGTCCAATCAATGGTATGGACATGTGGCCTACTGTGGATGTTGAGAACATGTTGCCACCTCAATATAAGATGGGTCCAGGTAGGCCTAAGAAATTAAGTTTTAGAGAGCAAGATGAAAGTGGTTCAAGGATGAAGAGGCATGGTATAACTTATAGATGCACAAAGTGTGACAAATTTGGCCACAATTCAACGAAGTGTTAGAGCAAGGGACAGGATCCTAATGCATTAAAAAGAAAGGTAATGATTCATGCTTCTTAAACATTCTTCTAATATGTTCTTGAATTAGTCTTCTAACATTCTTCTTAACTATGTGCAGAGAAAAACACAAAGGACCAAACCATCTACATTTGTTGCACCAACTGAAGGAGAAGCTAAGATAAATGTTGGTGGAAGTGTCCATGAAATGAATGACCCAGAGTTAGATGCATTGCTTGACGACATGAGAATTCCTTTGAAGAATATCAATCTCAAGGATGTAATCCCACAATTGAGGAGCCAATTATTGCACTAACTAAGTATGTTGAAACAACTGCTGAACCAACTGAGCCTGCTGCACCAACTGGCCATACTGAGCAAACAGTCAACAAGGCAAATGAGAAGAATAAAAAAGTAACTGTTGAGAAGAAAAAAGTGATGATAAGAAGAATACTCAAAGGTTGAAAGCTAATAGGAACAATAATAGGTTGAAAGCTATTAGGAATGCACACAAAAATTGATGGGCCTGGTTCAACTTCTACTGCACCATTGGTGTTTAATGGGAAGCCTTCTGTGAAGACATCAAACAAGTGGGAAGAAATTGCAAGGAGAATGACTCAGTAATTAGGTTGTCATTATGTTTCATTTTGGTAGTCAAAACAATTTTTTTATGTTATTATCTACCAACTTTTGTTAAGCAC